AGAAGAAGAAGAAGAAAAACGGTGCAATATTTAAAATATATAACTTAATTTCCTAGTCAGAAATCAGCTGATCCTTGAATGAAACTGCATTTGAGAACCTTTGTTACAAGTAAGGTTTTATACTTTACCTTGTAAAGTGATTCGAGTTTGAAGCCAAGAGCCATTCCTCTACGACTGCTGTTCATATAATTCCCATAGATGAGAATAATCTATAAGAGGTAGCAAAAAGTTAGACTTCAATCATTTTAAGGCACTTAGAAGGAAATGGGAAGTGTTTCGCTTCTATATTTCCCTTTATTATTACTCCAATGAAATTTAATAACACCTTAATTAGTCCATCCCCTCTCTCTGTCATTGACTTTGGAAAACTTGTATTAGTAATGGAGATAGCTTTCCGAGTTACCTTGAACAGTTTCTTTATCTTAACGCTGTTGATGATCGATGTTGCTGCTCGAAGCACTGAGTCAATTTCCTGAATTCAAAAAACATGATTTTTATTAATCTATTAAATCGATTATTAATAAATAATAATACCATATAGATTAGGCCGTTTGCATGCCATGGCGTCATTTACTACCACTACCAAAATTAAATGCTTCGCGAATTTTCATTTTTATTCAAAGTTTTGCTTCCTCGTGAGAATAAGAAAACAATAGGTCCTTTTGCAATAGATTGACACGTGATTGTTACTAGTTGGTAAAATATGTGGACCTCTTTTATTGAAAGATTTTGCTGGATTACTAATGCCGCATCCAGAATAAGATTTCAAGATACGAAGCATTTTAAAGTTTGCTTGCCATCCAGCAGAGCCTTCCCCAAGGGACCTTGAGCTGAATTGATTCGTTATCAAAGTCATATATCAGCACGTGACTGTTTGTTGCAAAACGCCTATTGGTCCTACCAGCTGAGTTGGTTGCGTTCCCCGTAAGGGTTTATGGGTCATCTATTTTTGGTTAGCATTTCCTAGCAGTGACTGAGTACAATGTAAATTTCTCGTGTTGAATGAACTAGAATTCCAACTAACATTGTATTTCAGCTTTTATTTGAGTAAGCCATTGATTACTTACAGGAACTACAGTTCTCATGAGTTCTTCAAACACCCCAATGAAAGCCATGACTCCAAGCTTAGCTTCGTATCGCTCAACCTGTGCCATCTGACGCCACAAATAAAACGAAAAATAGTAATATTTATTAGCATGGAAAAAGTTTATTTTAAGTCCTTACACGAAAATAATGGATAATAGTGTTAGTTTAACTTAAACTTATCGCAAGGAAATGCAATACACCTCTCGATCTGGGGGACAAAACAAAAGAATTACAATCTCCTGAGAATTGGAACCTATTGTTTTGTCCCCCAGATTGATAAAAGAAGATACTCGTATTTGTTTTCTCATACCTTAAACATGAACTGATCTGCTTCAGACATCCTGTCATACTCTGATGCGTAGCGAGCAAAACCAGCCAACTAAAATTCGAATACACATTTGATATATTAAGCTACATGTTTTCGATAATTTGGTCCTAAATTCGCACGCATTTTTCTTAAAGATTTGCAAAATTTATCCCTCCTCCTGTCGTTCTTGCTGCGCATGCTCAACGGAGTGCCATTTCATCGAGCAGCTCTTGGGTCGAGAGTGGGAGAAAAACCAGACCAAATCTAATTCAACATTACTTGAAATTGATATATACTTTTAATATTATATATCTGAAGACAAAACAAAAACAAAAAAAACAAAAACAAAAACAAAAACAAAAAAACCTGAAGACTGACGCATCCCGCAAAGAATCAAGGGGAATTTTATGGAACATATATGAAATATTGACTACGATAAACGTTACTACATACAGAAAAGTTTCTAAACGAAATTGAATACCTCTTCTTTAGTCGGGACAAACTTCAGCAGTAACTCAGCATGTTCTGGAGTGAGTTCAACCAAGTCACAAGCGTCAATCAATTCTTTGATTTCATCAGTCTTGTGTTTGATACGATGACGTGCGATCACTGAAATGACAGTATATGATTGGCTAATTAGACATTTACGCGTTCATGTGACTTTACCCACGTGATCAGGAACGGAAGAGCAATGATTGGCAGTTAACTGACAATGACTATGTTGACGTCAAAGAGTGGCTTTTTTCGAACACGTGACTGATACCATAACTAGTTCACGTGATAACGATCGCGAATTGCTTACCAAGATTCCTTGCGCGTTTAGAATTCAGGATTGTAATCTGCTCCGCAGCTCTCTTGACAGCTGGATAATAAAATGAGATTTGAAATTAGAAAATGAAAAATGGAAAATTGAAAATAAAATGAAATATTGTTAGGAGTATAAAGTAGGGGTGATCGTGTAAAGAAAAGATTGCTTACCATTCTCTCGTTTGGCCTGAACCTCTTCTGAAGTGTCACTAGTTTTAAGCTCGAACCTTCTGTCAAATTCATCAAAGTCCATGGCTGATATGATATCCTCATCATTGACTTCCTTTATATGAAAAAGTAGATGAGAAAATAAAAGTGATTATGATATATGATGATGATATATGATCGCAATGTAGATCGACAATGGTGGTGGTGGTGATGTTGCTGGTAATGATGATAATGATGATGATAGTGGTGGTGGTGATGATGATGATGGTGGTGATGATAATGATGATGATGGTGGTGATGATAATGATGATGATGATGGTGGCGGGGACTGAGTTGAACCGAGTTTGGCGGCCATTTTTGAAAGTCATGTATAGCATTGAAATATTGATGATGATGATGATTGAGTAAAGGTAACAAAATGATGCTTGATAAATTAAGCTTTTACCTTGAAGATTGATCCATTAGAATCGTTGGAGATTGGCATCCAGTTCAACATAGGTAGACGAATACTCTTGTGTCGTAATCGTTTTCGATTAGTCGGAGAAACACCATCTTATTAAAAAAAAGTTTATTTAGTATTTTTAGTTTGGAAAGGAAGATACACCTATTTGCTAGGAAGTCGTCATATAAAAATTTTWAAAAATTACAAATAGGAATCGATTATTTTTAAAGAAAAACAGGTGTAATTATTTCACTGTTTGTAAGGTAGAATTTGAAAATCAAATTGATATTACCCTGTCTATATATGCTAAAAAAGTTATTTTGAACAATCTATAGGGGCTTTGAAATAAAAATATTTCTATTGCATTAATTCCTATTATCGTACATATATATATTAAAATGACAAGGTTTTTGCAATTGTAGGTGTTTATCGTATGAGAGCACCAGGAGATTGGGGTAGGCGTCTAGAGAGAAAAAGGGCAGCGAAATAATGAGCAAAGCTTAAAGTAAAAGAAATAAAAAGAAATTTTAAATGAAGTTAATGAATGATTTTCATTGTGATTGTGAAAATAAATTTTAGTCTTCTCTTCTGAAATTTTACRATTTTACTTATGGGTTAGGGTTAGTTTTACTTATGTTGTTAAATTAAATTTAGCTATTTATTTAATAAAAACGAAAAAAAATACTTAAATTACCACAAAGAATGTCGTCGAATTTAACTAAGTTGATACCATAAAAAAGGCGTACAAAGTTGTTTCTAATCAAGAATAAGAGTAGTATGTGGAGGACTCGATAATGATGGCGTCATGGTACATTTTTACGTCATTCTAAATAACATGCATTTACGTCATTATCATAGTTTATTTGGTGTTAAATTCCCCTCCTAAACGTAAGAGCAACATAGTGTCGAGTTTCTAATGAAGCAACAACAGAAAAATAGGGAATGTACGAAAGAGTTTTCGTTGTTGATGACGTCATCATCTATTTCATTTTTAGAAATATTTTATTAAATTGATCTATTTTGGTACCCGGGATCATGATGTGGTAGAGGTGCTCATGCGGTAACGGTATGCTTGTGTACGTTTAGCCATGCAATGAAACTGAATCTTATAAAATTATGGTTCAATTAATTAAGTATACAAATGGTTCACCTTAAACATTTTTCATTTTCATAGTCTTTTTTATTAATTTTTAATATTTATTGAACATTTTAAGAGTGTTTTTGTCGTGTGTTACAAGTACTTAACTGCGCAACAAGATTGACTGGTTTGACTTGCTTAACAGGTTTGACTGGTTATTCGTAAATTTCATACTCACCTATTTCCCAATCAAAGGATGAGCAAATATCTGGTGGATAAAAATCTAGTTCTAGAAAACCAGAAAAACCGATTTATTTTGGTGCGTGCAGGCAATACATTCATTATGCTGTTATCAGGTTATAAGAATAGAAGCAGAAAGCCAAAACGTTTAGAGATTGAAGAAAAATTGGGTCAAGTTGGAATTGCAGTGCATTGTGGGACTGATTTAGGGAACAAATTAGACGCCATCTTTGAAAAGTCCCCAAAACAGCCCCACAATGCACTACGATGCCAACTCGACCCAGTTTTCCCCTCAACCTGGGAATGGCAAATAAAAAGCGTAGTTCTCAAATAGTCACGTGATCATGACACTCTTATTACTGCACAATCTTATTTGGTATTTCCCAGTGGCTTTTTTCCAGACCGGTACCGTTCATATAAAGGTGGGGTGACCCTGGTGTTTGGGATAAGTGTTTTGTTTTCCATCCCCAGGGGCACCTGGGTAGGGTTATCCTTTTTTCATGTAAACTGTACGAATAACCTGATAACACTCAATAATCCCTTTCACAGTTCCTTGCGCTATCTCGAAAGGTAGCAGTGAAAGGAAGGCGAACGGTGTGCTTGCAATGATAGATACCTTTTTAAACACCTTGAACAATTATTCATATGTCTCTATCATTGCGAGCTCGCCGTTCGTCTGCTTCGATGCAAAGACACGGCTACCTTTCAAGATGGGGCAGGGAACTGTAAAGAGACTATTGTACTTTAAATTAGTCTTGTTAGCAACAGGTTTTCTGAAACACATGACTATTTCAAAACCTGTTTGACCAGTTAGAACAAGCTTACATTCTATCCATGCGATAAGGGCACATATTAATAGCATAGTTAATCTGCACAGTAGATGCATTAGTAAAGTTAGTACATCAACATAATAGATCTAATTCGTTTGGACGTAATGTTTTCCCAATTCAGACCACGTGTCATTCCCTTGAGAATAAGATTCCATATTCATATCTCTTCTTTTGCACTACTGTTAAACAAAGAAATGATACTCTAGGGAATGACATGTGGTCTGTAATAGAGAAACATTGCATCACCACGAATAGTTCTATTACCTTCCTGGTTAGTACGTGAACATTGCCACGTTGACGTGCATAATCCTGCTGCATGCAGACGAAGTTGATATTTTTAAAATAAAGATTTATTATTTACCATTATTTTTTGAAAGAAAAAGGTTGTTTTGCCTGTCATTAGTTAAAGTTAACTTTCCATAATGTTACGTATCCGTAAATTATGCGATAGATTGTCTTATTTATTAGGCCCTTAGTCTCATTGTTCAATACTAGAATAAGAATAAAAAGTTTCTAGTGATTACTTTTAGATTCCTTGAGCACTCAACTGCATCTTGTGAAAGATCTTTTTAAGTTCTTTCTTTATGTCGGAAATGAATTTTATAAATTTAAGAGCATCTGTTGTCAAAAAATATAATTTCCTTGTTAAATTCAGGACTTCTCTCTTAAGAATTTCAATTTTTTGCCCTTTGATATCAAGTCTGCTGCTTCAACTGACAATTCCGAATCAAAACTTATTATTAATATTAATAAATATTATTTTCTCTGATGAACATATCAAATGTTTGAACATATCGAACATTGAACATATTAAACAAATAATCATATCACGTGTTGCACTCTTAATTATTATTATTATTTTAGGTATACGTTTTTATATCATGTAGATTGTACTTAACTCTCTACATTTTATCAATGAATATACTTTTTATTTATTATTGTATATTGTATTTTTTCATACGGTCTACCATATAATATTCATCCTTAATTAATGATTTATTTAATTTTAGCTTATTCGGGGAAACGCAAGAAGTATAACACTTACGAGTGGACTCCGAAAATGCCGTCATAATGCTGACATCATTCCGAAACCACTCCGAGAACATTCCAAAGATGTCCCGAGGTGACTCCCTGAGTTTCAAAGTTTAACAAAGATGTTCGACTTACCGGTTCCTGACGTTGGTGGAGGAGGGGGTGGGGGAGGAGGTGGAGCTTCAGGTGCTTCGGGTACGGCAGCAGCTGCTGCAGCTTCAGACAGTGTATTAATGAGGTCCTCTGGTACCTCCATGGCTTCTGCTTCGCTCTTCACTTGTTTCTAGTTACCATAAATATTTTTTTCGGGCTAAATATTATTTCTTTAAGCGGCAGGCCTTTTACTAAAGGCTGCGTGCGCATCTTGAAAACGTTGCAAGGCTTAGAGCGCAGCAGAGAAGAAAAATACAATTTTTGAATGCTCCCATTTAAAAAAATCATTATTTTCTTCATTAACTCAAGACTTTATGGCTTGGGACTGAATGAGTGCGTTCAATATTGCGCTCTAAATGGGATCCCTGCGTAGTCTCGTGAGAGTTGCTCGAGGTTGAAATTTCTTTAACTTAACCCTGGGATTCCTGTGTAGTCACATGACAGTTGCATGCGCTGCTGGCCTTTCATGCCGCGCTTGGTGGAATTCAAATCTAATAGAAGTCAAATATCTTACCACAAGGTTTTCAAGTGTTGTCTGGAGTTCGTTGGTTCGTAGTCTGTACTCCTCGTAGCTGGCTTCCAACTAGAAATGTTTTTGGTTATAAGTATTTTATATTTTTTCACAAATAGTTAATAAATCACTGCATTTTTTGTAAGTGTTGTTCCTAGAAGATAACTTGAAACTTTTAAAAAGAACATGAAAAGATCGATTCCCGATCAGCACAGTTGCTTTATTTATTACCTCTTCGTTGCGTTTCTTGAGGTCGCCATTAGATTTCTCTGTTTCCTAAAATAAATATCACATCGTAATATCATTAGGAAACTCGACCTAACTGATCTAATTTACCATAACTTGTTAGAGTCAGAAAGGAGAAAGAAAATATGTAATGAAAAAAACTTGGAGAAGGAAGATTGAACGACAGAGCGCAAGAAAAAGAGCAGAAAAGGAAGAAAAGAAATGAGATAGCAAGAGGGAAAAATAGATTTAAGAAAGGATTAGGAAATGAACAAAGAATTATTTGTAAATCTCATTGACATTCCATTTTGGGTACATGAACTGACGAAGAACGAGGTGTACCGAGGGAATATCGGGGTAAATAATAGCTATACTCACCCCAAGCTTTGCCTGAAGCAAGTCAACCTAGAGAAGAAAGAGCAAAATTAGAATAACCAAAAAATACGAACAGTACTTGAAAACACTGCTATCCATATTTGCAGATGAAGGACAAAAGTCTACCTCGTCACGCAAGTACTTAGTTCTTTCTCTTAGCGAGACAAACTCATCCATGACGCTTTGTACATTGATATAGCCGTCACGCCATGTCTTCAGTGCGTCACGAACTGTCTTGGCTTCTACTCCTTCTAATGTCTGTAAGAAATATATTAACATAATTTAACAACTAAAAAGCAAGGCTGAAGACCTGATTGATAATATAAAAGATTGCGTTTAAAAAGTACAATATAATTTATTAAATAGGACTTAAAAAATGGACTGTAGTACCTGTTCAATCTTGTCTGGATCAAGACCAGCGTTTTCAATCTCTTGTTGATGGAAAACTTTGACATTGAACGATGGAGCAGAGTTAATGAAAGTGTTGAGGAAGTTAAGACAAATGGCCTGCGGGGAAAACAAGAAATGATAAACAAAAATGACCTAAAACCCCTGAAAAACATATCAAAGTCTTGGCAGATTGTTTTACAGCTCCCTTACCTGAAAAGATGGTGAAATAGGTTTTTTGTAAATCAAAGAAACAAGTGTTTCAAAAGGCTTGGATTCTCTTGATGTTTTCATGTAGAATCTGATGGCGTCGATAACTTGTTGGTAATAGTCTCCTTCGTGACAAATTTGAATTAACATCTGTAAACAAATTGTTAACAATTTATTAGAATAAAGCTGATAAAAACAAACAAACAAAAAACACAAACTATTGAAATATCAAAATAAAACTGCTTTGATAGATTTGCGCATGCGTGTAATTCTTTAAGAAAAAAGGCGGGAACTTTTGACGCGTCTGCAATGGCTTCCAGTGTTTCAAAGAAACATCCAAAATGGCGGCTCTTTCTAATATAGTAAAAAGGTTAAAATTAATCAAGTTAATAGTCTTAAATCATCCTATAAAAGTCAAGCTAAAAATATTTTTAGCAACATTAGTTATTGGTCTAAAGACTTACCCTTAAGACGAGGGCTTGAGTTTTTCGACTGTTAACTTTCAAACAGTGAAGAATTGCCATGATGGAATCGTTTACACTCATTACGGATTGAAATCCATACTGAAAAGCAGAAGGCAAGGAAATATTGTACGTGTCACGGAATCGTAAATATTTATAACTGCATATTATTGCTTTATTCGTCAACTCTTCATAATTGGCGGCCTTAAATTGTACACAACAGCAGATGAGCGAAAAGTTAAATTCTGTCAAGCTTAACATGGTACAGTGGTAAATACCTTGTTTTTCATCAAGACCCTCAAACTTTGTAAGCACAGATGTTCATCAATCTACAAACACCATAATAATCACCTTAGAATTACATTAATAAGATCATTTTCACTATAAAATAGATAAAAAATAAGTTTATTTAATTTTTTTCAGGAAATATTTGGCCACTCATGACCATGCGKCAGAAAAGATCAATAATTTTTTGGGTTCTTTTCTCTCCTTTCTTTATTTTTTCACCACTTTTCCATATATATTTGTATTCAAATATTATGCATTAGTCAATTGAAACCCCCATTCCAGACCCCGGGACAGAGCGGGGAATTAAACATTCACAGTAATGTTAAATTTTCTCGAGAGAAAGATTTGTTATTAAATGCGCGTTAAATCCCCTGTCTCGCCCCCGGTAATKCTTCGCCATGTTCCGGGGATCGGGGGTCTCAATTGACTAGTACATTAGATAGTTTTATAAGAATTTCTTACATAGCTTCTGGCAAAAACCTCTGGTTTTAATGATCGTGTGCTTCCATATGATCGAGTTTGAGTTCTTTCAAGATCTGACTGGAGTTCCTGAGGAATAGGTGTGTCTTTGGGGGGAGGATTAACATGGAGGTGCTGAAGAAATTCAATGAGAGCTGTGTGTCCTCTGTAAGGATCGTCAATGAACTCTCTCAGCCATCTATAAAATAATTCATATGGGATGACATAAGAATATATAGACCCCTTGCACTTGAGTCCCGAGAGGAATYGTTCTGAGGGACTAAACGATGGATTTTTTTCCCACAGGAAAAAATGTTGCAAGATAATTGGCTACTWAAGTCCAATCACTTACGTGGTATTTGGATGCGTTCTTAGATCAACTTCCAACGACCTAAGGACCATTTCCACTGGCTCCAGAGTTTTGGTGAGTCTTTTTGAAGTGGCGCTGTGTTTGTTGACTGCAACTTCGCGATGTCCTCTTAGCTGTTCTATGTAGAACCCGGATGAATACTTTGGCTGCATGCTTTCCTAATTTACGGGGGGAGAAAGTTAAGAATTAAGGTAATGAACTGTCGACGCGATGATTCCTAATAAAAAAGCAGGGCGGGAGGAGGGAGGGCGTTGAAACGGGCACACATCTCTTGGCCGATCCGTGATGCGGAGAGTAGGACTGGGCACTACTCTGACTGTCAACAATGGCGGACTGTTTGTGGAGGAAATTCGCCTGACAAGAAGATCTTTCAAAGGTAAATTTAGGCTTGTTAATCTTTGCTTTTAGCCAATAAAACAATTTTACTGGTGTTAGAGAACACCCAAAACATGATAAGAGTTTTCATTACGAAGAATTTCGCTGGGTTTTGTACTCAAAGAACCATTTTAATAAGCGACTGCCTATGGTGTTTAGCTGAATTTTATGTAGCAAATGCGGGCGCAGGGCATTTTTGGCTATGTTACAATGTTTTCCAAAACCTAGTTTATATATCTTTGAAATATTTATATAGTGTTTTACTTATGTGAAAAAAATCAGACTGAGCAAATTTGAGCAAGATTGGTTTTTTGACATCTCAAAAGTAGACTAGCGAATCGATAGTGAAGTTGACATACGTTGAACAAAAATGGAACGAAATGATCGGAAATTGTGACATTTCTCCAGATAAATATACACGCACTGTTCTTCAGCACAATATTTTTCATTTTTGGACCGTTAAAAGTAAAACATCTAACGATCCTCAGGTCAATTTTCATCATACAGAAGGTGTACATACTATGAATTCCCTAGCGCTTCGCTAGTCTACTTTTGAGATGTCAAAAAACTAATTTTGCTCAAATTTGCTCAGTCTGATTTTTTTCACATAAGTAAAACACTATATAAATATTTCAAAAATATATAAACTAGGTTTTGGAAAACATTGTAACATAGCCAAAAATGCCCTGCGCCCGCATTTGCTACATAAAATTCAGCTAAACACCATAGGCAGTCGCTTATTAAAATGGTTCTTTGAGTACAAAACCCAGCGAAATTCTTCGTAATGAAAACTCTTATCATGTTTTGGGTGTTCTCTAACACCAGTAAAATTGTTTTATTGGCTAAAAGCAAAGATTAACAAGCCTAAATTTACCTTTGAAAGATCTTCTTGTCAGGCGAATTTCCTCCACAAACAGTCCGTCATTGTTGACAGTCAGAGTAGTGCCCAGTCCTACTCTCCGCATCACGGATCGGCCAAGAGATGTGTGCCCGTTTCAACGCCCTCCCTCCTCCCGCCCTGTAAAAAAGGGTGGATCTGATCATGAAAAGAGAAAGCAAATAGCGAGTTAAACGTAAGCCTGGGTCATTGTTCGCCATCAACAGAGCATAAATATTCCTGCTCTCTTGTCGCCATATTTATTTCGATACAACGAATCGAAATATGGCGACCAATTTGAATAACGAGAGATAACTAGCTAAAAACTAGTGTGAGCTGCGTCGGTGTTTCTAATGAAACAGTAATGATAAAAGGGTAAATTTTACTCCGACGAAGGACTAGCGTCTGAAACGTCAGTAAGTTTTTTCATCTTTTCACGGTGTAAAATTTACCCTTTTATTATTTCAATTTGAATAGCTATCATTCTGGACTGACTGGCCTCTATGCTTTTATGTTTCCACGTGAACACGAGGCTAGTCAGTCCAGAACAATAGTTATTCAAATTATTGACATATTTCGATTTGATGTATGGTAGCGTGCAGCTTTTTCAACCTCTTGATTGAATTCTTAATCCCTCTAGTTCTTTGTGCTGAAAAATACTCAATATTTCTTCATACATATGTTTGACTATAACGAAGTAAGGTGTTCATTTTGTGCGTGTGTGTTGGGGGATGAAAGGGTTGAGCGTGCGGGGTATTAAACCTACGCTTGACTATCATACGATAAATTTCTTGTTGCTACAAGGRAAAAAAATCAATAACAGATACTAATGTAGCTGTAAGTATAGTCCTATAAAGTTATTTCAAAATACACCCAAGCCATATGGCTATGCTTCGGAGACTTTAATTACGTACTTAAGTAAACAAAAAAAAACAAAAAAAAAAAAAAAATGAATATTAAATTTCTTCCTTAAAAATACCGGCTAGAATTAAAGTCATTTTTCATCGCTGTAAATATTAAAGCACGACTTTAGGCCGTGATATGTTACTAATGACTTTACTTTACAAAACTTCAACGATATACAACCTTAGACTTTACCTTGCTCGTTAAAAACACGGCTAACATACAGCGAAAGCCGGCGGAGAATTTTATGAGGAAGTTAAAATTTTGTAAGCATTATTTGGTTTAACTTGACGGAAAAAAACTGCATATCAAAATTTGAACCAGAMGGTATTGGAAATATTAATTTATTTTTTCATTACTAAAGCAACATTATTATATTTATCATAGTATGGAAAAACGAAAATGGGGTAAAAAGTTATTTTAGATAAAAATTTGAAATTTATATATACTTTTTTGGCATCAATACTGTGTGCTGCAGTAAGGATGAATTTTATTATCACTCTTCTGTTGCTTTCCCGGCATCTGTTCGTGATAAAAATAGTTCACTTGTCCCCATGCAATAAAACAATTTCTTTTCAGTTAAACACTTAACTTTACTAGGCTCTAAATGGTGCCCTCTAATTGGTCGAGAATTCGAGATGGACTTCATCGTAATATGACTAAAAGTGCTCAGAGTTAATTGTTTTTTTGTTTTTTGTTTTTGGATCATCCCAGGATTTTGAAAACAAAAGCTAGGAAATCTTTATGAGTCAAAGAGAAAAAAACCAAAAGAAAAAAAAAAACTTTTTTTGTAAAGTGAAACTTTTATCACCTCTGGCTAGTGATATTGCCAGTAGTATTCTGAGGTTAATTGTGCTTGATTATTCAAAGATTTTGAAACAAAGACAACGTAATCTCGAATGATGAGATAGAAACTGAAATTWAAAATGTTGTAAAATGAAAACTTTATCATCTCTGAGTAGCTACCAGATGTGGTAGACATGGTAAATTTTATCATTAATGCACTGAACGAATTCTCTGTTTAAAACACTTCTTTTATCGATAGAAAAGAAAATCTTGGTTTGGACTTCCTTTTCGGACCTTGAGTAAAATTCACAATATAAAATCTCTTATTTTTCTCTGCGGGAAGCCTTGTCGTCAAAATATATTCTGACTCGAACTGAAATGAAAACGTTTGCAAACCTTCCTTCGCAAATTTATTGATTTTCCCCACTGACTCTCAAAAAACTCGTTATTTTTACTGTAAGAAGGGTTCATGTCGTAGTTTAATTTTTYTAGAATAAAATTCCGCTTTGTTTTCAAATGTGAGATAATATCAACRTAAGGCAATCGCTTATTATAAATATTTTATGAAATAATATTCTTTCGGCAGGTTTTATTGATCCGAGAGTCGTAAAGTCTAGTAAAAGAAACTAAACTCTTTAGACTTTGAAGAATTTACTATCATTCACAAGCACAGACATTTGAGCAAAAATAATGCAAAGTAAGCRTCACAAGTGTCACTCTTTAGATTAATACTGAAGGAAAATTAAAAAAGCTATTGAAATATTGAACTACGATCAGCCATGTGGAAAAGTCCTGTGAAATAATTTTTCCAACTTACCTTCGCTTTRATCATCTTCCATTTGTGAGATTTAGGACTTTTGGAGAGCTCTGCAGCTCTTTCAGCCGGAAGGGCCATTTTTTCCTACCAAAATACGACAGAAAGAAGGTTAATTTCAACTGTTTGCGAGATATTTTTCCCTTCACAATAAGCTTAGCAAGACGTAAATATTTTGTTGACATTAGTTTTAARAACTTACCAAAAGTATTGAAAACCTCTCTTCAATCTCGATGTCATCTGGCATTTCATCGTCGACTTCAAATTCTGCAAACAATTATGATTTTTGTTTTATAAAAGTCACTTAAACATAACAATTTATCGACTCTCCCGGGAATATTCAAGATTAGATAAGCAGTCTAAATCTTCTCACGGATCGATCTTGAAGCCACACGGAACATAACAGCGATTTGTCTTTACATCTGCTTAAACTTGAATATTTCCCCCAAAAATTTTAAGACATGAGTATAGAACTAAAAAAATAGCATAAAAATACGATATTTACCTGTATCTTCGCCACCGGAGGAGTTTGCCGAGAATAACATACTACTGTTGGACCTGACAGAATCGAATGCTCGGGTAGATGTTTTGCTAACTCCGTTTTTCATTTTCCCAGGCATTACTATACCATTAGAGTGTCCAGTTTTTACATTGCTATTGCGGTCCTGAACCATAGCACTAGACCTGTACAGAAACAGATGGCATTAATATCATAAGCGATTGTACTAACTCATCAACGTTATAAAAATTAAGCCTAGCTAGGTTTACCTAATTCGCTGATCTGTACATGGAATTTTGAATGCAAATTTTTACGAAGCAGTAGGGAGGGGGGCGTTGCTTGGTTGACCTGTCACAGTATACGTCGTCATGGACTGGAAGGTTCTCTTCGGAATTATCTTTCAAAAGTTTTCTAACTTTATGATTAATTACTTCAAGATTGTGAAATCTTTTTTTTCCAGTTGTTCCTCGAGAAATATTAACCCCAAAGCTTAAATTTCCCAAAATTTTAAAATTTATTTTAGGTATTAAAAAATTCATAAGTAAAAAAAAATATTTCATTAATGATATTTTGAATTTGTTTTGAATCATTCTGCGCCGTGTCTTGACAGGTTCTCTTGAAATTCATTAGGTTCAATGAAGTAAATAACTCTTCAATTTTTCAAGTACAATTTATCATCTTGGTTTCTTCAAAGAGAAACCTAAAAAGAGAATTTCTATAATATTTTTTAATATTCTTGTCCAAAAGTATTAGCTAATATTATTCATGACGATTTTCAACTCGACGTGGTCTGCAGTGCGGGCGTCATCTGATTGCCTTAGCGAATCGAAGCTAAATATCGCACTTACACACACTTACACGAATCGA